ACAATTTTTTTACATCCGCTCCCACTTAATGATGAAGCTTTATCGTAATCTTGAAAAAAAACTCAGGGAACATTAACCAAGCAATCTTTATCGGTTTCGGACAATGAGACGTTGACAACCGATGTCTTCATACTTGAACAAAAACAATGCCCTATCGCTTTACATGCTATTAACTCTCTACCCACGCTTTAATATAAAAATCTACTTTAAATTCATTTAAAATAAAGTCCATATTCGCTTTGTTAATATATAACTCTCCCAACTCCAAAACGCCAAAAATCACTGACCGCTTGCAAAGAAACCTAAATTTTAAATAAAGAATATCTAAAGTTGAATTTGGAAAATGATTTGTTAGAGAAGGGGTTATTATGAAATATCGATATCATAGTGTTGTGACGTGTCGCTTGATTAATAATGGAGCAAGCTTGTCCACTTTCAAGTTTTTTATAATGTTGATATAGGTAACATGTAACGCTTTTAAACTTGACTTTATAGTGCCTTTTTGGGTTCTGACTAAAATTAATATTAGGTACGTCTTTCTGTAATGATGAGATAACTTTATAATGCAAATGGCAATATGACTACCTTATTGGAAAATTTAATTAATGGTGTACTATTAATTTAATAAGCATGTAATGTACACTACATTAAATGCTTATTAAATTAATAGCTCATAAATATTACTTTTAATCATTGACTTACAATTATATGGACGTCGGGTAGCGCTAAAAATTGTCCGAACTTATAGGGCGTTAAAATCGTATACAGAGCGTCATTCACGCTTTAGTCTTCCTTTGTTCGACTGACAGCGAAGCAAGCAAAATTAGACAGTACTGCGATGACATAACAATGTAAATTCAACGTTTTAGCTTTTTCATATTCCTTTACATGTCACTACGTTTAAATAGGTTGACTTAGGACATTTTTTTCGTGGTTTTTGTATTAGATCCGTCGTCCATTTATTTGTAAGTCAATGCTTTTCATTTATTTAAGTTTAATTTTATGTTGCAAATGTGTTGGTGTTTATCACGTTTACACAATACATATGATAAGTAACAAACTATTAATATTTTGTGTTTATTTTAAACTGCCGCTGCGGCCGAACGGTTACCATACCGGACTATCACCCAGAGGTCCCAGGTTCGATTCCCGGGCCGGGAGAAATTTTTGTATGACCTACATTTATTTCTCTCGTGATTTTGGGTGTAATTTGTAATTGTCTATATGTGTGTCCATGTTACCCGCGACACAGGGTTTCCCTAGTGCGGGGCTATGTTGAGTGTGTGCGTTATTATTATTATTATTTCATAATAAAAACATCAAAATGAGATTTGTTAAATACGTAATATAACCACCAAAAAACAAAACAACCTTTCTAGTTTCTATCGTCCAGCAAATATACCCCTATCTCCATTAATCATTAGACCGTGGTTTCCGTTCCCGAGAAAGGAAAGAAACAGAAATAGTAACAACATTAAAGAGCGACTGAGCTGGCGATAGGCACTCGACAACATAATTGAAAACAAGCGGCACTTTAGTGATGTGTTGCAAAAAAATATATCGATATTTGTCAATGATTGGGATGTTGAAATTTGGCACAAATCACACAAAATAATTGTTTCATTTATGAAATTGCTTTGCTTTTCTCACTGTTCTTAAATTTCTGGAACTAACTTGATACATAAGTTTTTGAAATGAATTTTTCATGATAGCAAATATATAGTTGAATTAATAAGAGTTGATGTGAAGAACACCCACGTAGGTTTACTTGTTTGTGATTCTATACACGGTGGCAGTGGCAACGTATGGTCACCGTGTAATGTAGATGAAAAACGTTTCCCGTCTCGTTTACATACATCATTTTAGGTAAAGTCGAATAATCTATAATTTATATATAACCAAATATCACTTGAAATCGTCATATTGACTAAAAAACTCTACTGCTCATTCATAAGGCAGATTCCCCCGAGAAGAATGAGCAAGAAACTCTAGGGGTTAATATTTGTGAATAAACATTTGTACACGTCCATTATTTACTATATTTTTTTCAAACAAGAGCTATCAGGCCTCTACCATATTTGCCATCCAAGTACGTAGAAGCTGTATAGTAAAATTTTAGTGTAAAGTTTTTATTTCACTATAGATAGAAACCTCGTGAATGGCAAATTTTTAATATCAACCGGATTCAGAAATGTACACATTTTATCACTGACAAAAGAATACTGCTTAAGAGCGCCTGTTGTCCATACTCATTAAAAACTGAATGAGAAGTTCCACGATATTGTAAATTCCAACAACATAAATAAATCAAACCCAGTCCATATATAAATTTATTATTGTTATTAAGAGTTTAATATAATATGTGACAATTTGTGAAAACATTTTCTCAAAAACTAAGCGACCGTACGTGCTCTTCTATTGGCCCATTGTACCATAACATCTCTATACGAGATTCAAAAATCCCCAATACCAACACTGGCTTTGACATTTACATATAATCCAGTTTGAATAGAGTTGTACAGCGGCAAATATAGTGCTGCATGAACAATGACGTCAATCCAGCAACTGTAGCTGTCAACTGAGACCGCTGAATGATGTATCACTCAAAATTTTACAGTCCAGAGAAAAATGCATGGTTTTTTTTTTATAACCGCCAAAATATTCATGTGTTAATTGTAGTTACATGCATGTATTGTGTGATTTTGATGGGAAAAAATCGATGTTTGATTGGACGTCATTATAGATATTTACCTAGGTACTGTATCGCAAAATAAACAGATAATTAAAATTTGAGCTTCCAAAGCCAAGAAAAATGGACGTTAGAATAATAATAGTAGATAGGGAGTCTTTGTTTGCCAAATTTAAGAATTATTCAAAATGAAGATGTTTTAGTGATAAGAAGTCCACCGTTACCTGGTTTTTTTCTGGACATGTTTTTAACTGGGTCAGATAACTTATTATCAAAACCATACGATAGTATGGAATAGAGCAAAAACGTAAAAATTGTGTGGTAAAAAAATTTGGGCTTAATAATTTGTAAAGCAAACAATACTGTCAATCTTGCCACCGCTGTCAACTCTGGCTAGAGAATGATGTATCACCGGTTCCCTTGAAATTTTAAAGCTAGAAGCATAAAATAGAAAACATAATTCTGATTTGTAGATGCAGAGTAAGAAAGCCAATTGTTTGTATATATACAGGTAGATGAAGACTGAAGAAGATGATTTGATTTTTGTTTAATGTCATTTCACATATTTTTTACTTCTTTCGGGATTTAATGAAATCTTCGGTCTAAAGTTCAATTTGAGTCAGCATTTTCAGTAGGTTCATGTCAGGAATGAGTTTTATCCATTGATTGTGTTAAGTGAACCTACAGTCAAAAAGAAGACCTAATAGTCTTGAATGCATGCAACGGGTGAATAAATATAGAATGATAGACCCGAAAAATTTATACGGGTAATAAGTAAATAACAGATGGTCGCTGTTTCGGAAGTAATCACCAACCATTTCTTTTGGGCGCTCTACTTTCATTACCTGATACGATATCGCCTTTTTCCCTTACCTGATCTGAATAACTTCGTCTCCGTCTTCCTCTGCCACTCTTTCGATCTTCCATTTTAGTTTTTACGAAATCTATCGTGACATATCAGACGCAATATTTTTTTCTCTTTCGATTGTCCATTGTCTTTAACAAGCTTTTCTTTTCCTGGACCATTCTTAACATTTATACTTACTGGTTTTTCTTTCTGTACCGGACACTTTTTTGAAAAATATGTATTTCTTTGGTAGCACTTAAATGAATCGCTCACTTCGAATTTCCTTCTTTTCGTGAATATTATATTTGGTACTTTTATCTTCTGCCTCAGTTTTCATTCAAAAGTAACAGTCACACAGCTGTCAAAAAATTGCAGCCAATTTGATTATTCTATTTCCTCTAAGCCCCTTTTTGACAAGAACAAAGTATACGTAGTTATATTTGTCCGTTGGATTGAGTTGTTTATTGAATAATGTCGTGTGCAAGTATGGCTGTCGCTGTTGCAGTCCAGGATGATGTATGACCGCCACTCGCCACCGCTTTTGTTCAACAATTCTATGGGATTTTGACACAAGCGCTTTTGCAAAAATTTTGCTCATATTCTGGTAATAATTAACAGGTTAGTACTAACACACGATGAGATTATTTTTCATGATTTTTATTTTTCATGAAATGACACTTGTAACGTTGACCAAACCAAAACGAATCTTATGAAATGGCATATAATGGGTAAAATTATGTGAAACTTTCTGAAATACCTATAATGCAATCAAAACTGTACCCGAAAGGTCAATAAAAGATATTCACACTCTGCCTTTAACGTAAGAATGAAAGGAATACAACACATAAAGAGCATATAACGACAGCTGCCATCATAGGAAACATGCTAGTAGAAAGAAAAAGCAGCTCTTCACACCTTGAAATCGATTTACGTCATGGATAAATTGAAGCGTTCCGTGGAATCGGACAGCTGAGGACCATTCACAAGAGTAAATAAAAAAAACATTCGCTGCTCCAGACAGCCTCCCAGATTCGCACTATTATCTCGTGTCCACCAATCCGACGGTAAGATTCACGTCCGCGCACGCGATTGGTTGAGGAATCCCCCAGCGCTCCTCCCGCCGCTCTCGCCCCGCCCTGCGACGGCAAAAAGTTTCCAGAACACGCGCTACCTGCCCTTCACCACACGACCCAAGCCCAGTCGCATTTTTGTCGTCAAACCAAGTTTTATTACAATATTTATCCACTGTGGCTTTAACGTTTCTGCCATTTAAAATCACGTCCTTATTCTCTTATCACAAACTTTATATCATTAACGTTTAAGATAAGTACGTCTCTATCGGATCATACAATTTCCAATGCGCTAGAAAGGGATAGATTTTTTTAAGTTTTAGGTGTGGTTTAGAAAAATTATGCCGTGCGTGCGGCCGCGATCAGTGTTCGTCGGTTCACCTGACGTGCGGTCGTGCGATCGATAGTGCACAGCGCGGCACTATCCAGTTTTAAATTTCGAACGTTGCGATTTTCGGGTCGCCAATAGACGCCGTGCAACCTCTTTGACCTGTCGCCGTAGTGATGTGTGTGATGTAAACAGCCTTGTAGTTATCGATAGACACGGTGATCGTGACAAACATGATGACTATGGACGTCGGGATGTACAACAACCAGCAAAACGGATACGGCAGTGCGGAATATTACCAGCAGGGTGCCGGATATCAACCTCCTTACGAAGGGTACCATGAGGGCTATTATGAGACGCCGTCTCACTACTACGAGCCTTTGCTGCACGGTCAACCGGCACACGAGCCGCCAACGCCAGTGATAAGCACAGACACTGGTCTCTGTTACACCAACCTTGACTATGGGGAGCTGCAACAAAACTATTCCATGCACACTCTACCTTCTCACTCAGAAACATTTAAACACAGAGAAGATGTGCCCAGACATGAAGAAATGCATATGCATGAACACAAGCTGGATGGACATTACTTGGAGTCGAAATACAATATGCATTTTGTTGATGAAACGGCGATGCAGTACAGCCACACCGGCTCGCCGTTGCCGCGGCCGGACTTTGAACATTATCAACCGAAAGACGAGTTCGGAGGGATGAGAGAAGCCTTCCCTCGAGAGGGGGAGTGCGTGGGAGGCCATGGACACCTTCCTCCTGGACATCAAACCCATCCTTCCCACACTGCCGTCCCAACATACAAATGGATGCAAGTGAAAAGGAATGTACCTAAACCAGCAGGTAAATGCACAATACTTAAATTAAGCACTAAAATTCATCAATATCAGTTTGAGAAAAAAGTCTCAATATGGATAAACTTTAAATGTATATACATGCGTACCTATTATTTATTATTGTAATTTAAAAGTAAACATGATAACTTTTTCGGGACGGGTGTGCACGGTTACATGGCACTCTAATAAGCCAACTCTAATTTGATTCTAAGTTGTCTACGAGATACAAACAAATCTCTCTTCCCGCCTTATAATCATGTCAATGCCGGAACTACCAGCTGTCAACTGTCGGTTTTGTGAAGTTAGTATGTGTTGTGAAGGACCGTCTGAGCCTTGGAGTCAAAGGTTTCTACTTTGACTTCTGTCATTCATAACTGGCTGACATTAACGAGGTATAATTTGGTCAGATTATAGGAGCAGGTAGTGATTAATTGCGGTATTTTATTATTATTGTAATTAAGTTCAAACTTACTGTATCAGTAGCGTTGTGGTTTGTTTGATTATATTCCAATCCATATGATTTAATTTGACGTTTCTTCGTTTGAAAGGTCAAGCTATGATCAAGCTATACTCTCATATTCAAGACTTAACAAAACCAGTCAATAATAGCCTACGATAGAGGTATTTATAGTATATATATAGTAATCCTGACGAGCAGTGACGCCAAACTACCTCGTCTTAAATTAGGGAAAAGTAACAAAAAACTTTGGCTGAGAACAGTGCTCAAAATACTCCGGACCGAACTTTCGTGTTTTTTTCCAATTTTAACCTTCTGTGACCCGGGATCTCTTAAATTTTTGACGACTTCAATAACGTCTAGGACGCAGAAGTCGTCAAAAATTTAATAATGAAAGAATATAATGTTGATCATTAAAGTATTGATTACTTTTACATATTAATGTAAAAGAATGCTAATAGAGCGTTTTTATTCAGTAGAACAGTGCAACTGCAAAGAATCTTAACCAGTTGACAGTAATTTTCGCGTTGTTTCAAAAATTTATTGACATAGAATAAGTCAATGTAACGTTAAGATTTATGTCTTGTAATATATATAATCTTATTACCCTACATACAAGCTCCTTTCCCATCATAGTAGGCAAAGACTACAGCCTTCCGCTTGCACGATCTGGACACACTCTTTCGCCATATATTGATGAAGCTCGTCAGTTAAGGGTAGTCTTGACCCGGTCTTTCTTTAAGGCATAATGACTACACCACCTCAACAAGCTTTTCTCTAGTTTTGTCACTAAGTCCTCTTTCAAACTACATCGTTCACGGATCACAGTGTTCTTCGAATTGTCACATTATTATTACACCAATGTTAGCATTCTTTATTCCTCCTTTTATTATCAAATGGAACGTCACATTTAACTTTTATATTGTCAGTTACTAGCAACGTCAGTTGTCGAGTTAGTGTTGTGATATGTGGCAGAGAGCATGGGTTGACCTATGTCACTCACGCTGCCACTAGTTCGCTTGTAGTTTGACGTGAGAGGTACAACACTAATGGCCTACAAATGTGATTAGATTAATTTAATTTATTAGTATATTAAATGTTTCTAATCGGTTTAGTTTTGGGTGTAAACTTAAACAGCTTAAAGGTAATTAAAATTTGTAGTGTGTGACATTAAAATTATATGAAAATACACATATTTAAATTGATTTTTTAACTCGAAAAGAAAATGAAACATGTCATACATAGATCTGTTAAATAATCACGTAATTAACCACATTGAAGATATTTCATGATCAAAATTTCAACTTACCAATAGTAGTGTCAAAATAATATTTAAATAAATTTACGTGCATAATTATAACTAACAAGAAGACTAAAAATCATTACTTAAAATAACAGCAGCACACAGAATATATTATATTTTTTTGTATTGATGTACTACAACTATTTTACGTAAAATAACTAGCAACTAAACAGGTCCCTTGTAGTGTTAACAAATTACTGCATCACAGGTTATATTGAATTTAATTTTAATAGTGCACGAATGAACATACGAAGGAACGGACTGAACCGGAGATCTTAAATGTAGATAAACGAGCCGTCAAGCCGCGTGTGTTAGCTTTCAATTTAAATTGGTTACATTTTACGCAGTTGTTAAATTAATATATTATCCAGTATTTTTTTTATTGGCTATTACTTAATTTTAAATGATAATTGGATTGTTCTCAGTTAATACATTTTTATTACTAATTAAAAGTCACTTGTTTTTATTGAAAAATAATAATTTAATTTTGTTAATTCCAATTCAAAGTAATAACAATTTTGATTTTGAATTATCGATATATATCTTACTTCCGCATTACACATCACTAGCCTAATGTCTTTATAACCAAGTTTCGAAACGATTTGGCGCTTCATTATTGCAAACACTCTGAAAATATTCTTCCTTTTATATTGGAATCTATTATATTTAACATTATCTTTACTATCTACTGTCATGTTAATTAAGTACCTTTATTTATTACACAAGAAAGTTTCAAATTTTTTTAAAGCATAAAGTTCTACTTTATTCTTTATTTATATTTTAGTAACAGTAGAGACCCTCGTGAAAGAGCTTGTCCAGTGTAGTACTGCCACTATATCTATTTCTGCCACCAAGCAGTAATGTCAGCATTACTGATTTCCGTTTTTGAAGGGTAAGGGTGCTGGTGAAATTACAGGCACATGGGACTTGTCAACGTATGTCTCAGGGTGAAAGGCGCGGTGGCAGTACCCCTCAGATCTTTGCGATTTAAATCTCTGAGTAGCACTACAACTGTTATGGACAGGCGTATAACTTACCATCAGGCGCACGACTTGTTCGTCCCGTCACTTGATATTATTATAAAAAAATCAATAAAAACAGAACGTCTTAAATTTGGCAATGGACACCTGCTGAACCAACCGCCACCCAGAGCGGTCTGAAAACATAAATCTACTATTCATTACTTTTACGTGCAGATTCACGCCTTTGCGATTCCCATTAGGGTAGCCAGACACTATCGATTGATAAACCTCTCTTGATATACTAATCATCATCAATCCTCTCGTAAAAGACCTCATATGACATCAATAAAAGTGGAGTATTGGGTATTCTTCACTACGCGCTTCATCCTTTTTAAAGACGTTCTCGATTTGATCTGAAAACGGTTCGTCGTGGCCGGATCGCCGTTCTTCAAATATTGTCTTCTATGTTAGCTCTGTATATTTCTTTCGCTTCTCGCTTTCATTCATCCGTTCCATGTGCCCAAATCACAACAAATTTTCTCTTTATATGTCACTATGTTCTCTTTCGAACCTCATCGTCCATAGCTCACAGTATTTTTCAGTCCAATCCCTTTTTAACATTTTTTCCATTGTTTCCATTAAATAGCAAAAGGTTATAAAGTGACAATCCAGAAATGACTGACCTATATACCAACAATCTGCTTCTACAATAAAAACGTCTCGAATAATGTAACGTACCAAATATATTTTTTTTATTTTTATCTTGTAGGGAACCTATTTCGGCACGCAACGTCCTGTGTTCTGCCTCTATTCACCTAATCCGTGTAAACCACGATATCTGTGTTTGTTTTTTTAATTACACGCGATACTTACGACACTAACATATACCACGGGACGCTTTTTAATATTTTTGTTATAAATTACACTGATTAATTTTATTTAATTGGCACGAGAACTAATTTGACAAAATGGAAATTTTAACGATTAATAATTTGAAAGCTGTTGCAATTAAATTCTTTGCTATTACGACACAAAAATAAATAAAAATAATATACAGTTAAAAATTAAATAGTTTAATATCGATATTTTACATTTTGCACTTCAAATTAAAATTTTTCAAATTCAAAAATATCTTTATTCGTAAGTAAGAAAATTAAACTCGACATCGTGAAATCAATAAAGCACTACTGTACTTAGAAGAATCAGTAAGAAACTGTAAGGCTGAGTTTTTGAAAATAGACAATTTGTTAGACATTAGCGCCTCATCAAGTAACCCACAAACGTTACATTACAATTCTAAAACCACATCTTCAATCTTGCCCTAGGTATAACTACCACAAATTGAAAAAAAATCAAAGGACTGTGATATTGTAGTTTTATAGATTCTAATATTAATAAACTTTGTTGGATTATTGTCATTAAACGTCTGTTTAGTTTGCAACAATGTTTTTACCATTAATACGTTTAGCAGTAAACTTTTTACGATCCTTAATTCGACCATTTATAATCATATTTCGCTACTATGTAGCCAATAATACTGTAAAACATTGCAAGAATAATGAGAAAATTCCAACAAACACATTAACTTATAAAATATTGCGTAATTCCTCTTTATGAAAATATAAAAGCTTTTGACAATGTTTTATACACGTTTTATACAACGAAAACATATAATATTATTGTGAAAAAGTTATCTTCCTACTAACTTCATCTCGATAAGTGCGTAAAAATGTCAATAAAAAAGTTTTGTCACGCATTCTCGTGTACCAATATGAATTTAAGAGGGTGTTCCCCAGGGCTACAACCTATACCTACAGTCTTTCTATTTAGCTTAGGTATGTCTTATATTCGCCTTATAACGTAACTCAAGCGAACAAAGCCAAAAAACACATAATTTTAATAGACATAATAATTTATCGCAAACCAACAATTTGTCAGTCGGATCCAAATATCTGTCCATAAGTAAAAAGTCATCCTGACTGGTCGCCGAGGTGTGTGGCGAGCGGCGCGATACGCGAGACCAATAACGCCGAATGTCATTGTCATTGTTACCAGTTAGTGCACAATGACAGGCACATTCTATTTTGTCGCTGATGTTTGACTTTAAGGGACGATTAATTGATTTGCAGCGGATTTTAGGTTGATACAATCACATTATGTGGGAATTCTTGGATTATTTTATTATTTTCTTTTGGAAATACGGCTTTATACTACTAAACTTTAACTCATTATTAGATTTTACTCTATATTGCGTGAACACGAAAAGTATTAAAATTTTGGATATA